GCACGTCGTTGATCCAGTTGAGCACTCCAGTGTCAGTAGTGAGCCTCCTTGCTTCCGGAGGACTTGGTTATTTTGATTATCTTAGTTTTGTTCTAGTAGGATGTTGTGGGGTCTGTCCCAACATCCATCTTAGTACTTTAGAGGCTTCATAGACAGTCAGTCAGTTAGTATTGAGTCTCTCATCTATGTATTTATGTAAATATTCTATTTTGAGACTCGAGCTGCCTTTTGGCATGTTATGCATCAGTTGGTTGGTTTAAAACCTTTCATTGCATTGAGTCGTACTGTTGAGTTAAGTTTCCGCTGAGTTAAGAAAGCTAGGCCAAGGGTTCGCTTGGGGACAGCAATGGTCTCCGAGTGCCAGTCCCGCCCAGGGTGTAGGCTCGGGGTGTGACAGTTTAGTTGGTGGATTTAGTTGTTGGAATTAAGTCAAAACTAGTTAGACTTAAAAAATTAGTTAAGTTGTTTAAATAAGTTCAAATAAATAATGTGGTTTAGTTGGTGGAATTAAGTCAAAATTAAATTAGTGAAAGTTAAAAAGTTGTTTAAATAAGTTCAAATGAATAATGTGGTTTAGTTGGTGGATTTAGTTGTTGGAATTACGTCAAAACTAGTTAGACATAAAAAGTTGTTAAGCTGTTTAAATAAGTTTGTGGTAGATTTAGTTGTTGGAATTATGTCAAAACTTGTTAGACTTAAGAGAGGTCTTGTTCTTCTAAGTAGTGAAGCTTCTCTTCCCAAATCTTAGCCTGATCAAACACATTTCCAACAACTTCTCTAGATCAAGTACTAAGATTTTTGCTAAGCATTTTGAGTTAAGATTGAAGCCTCCACATAGGGTTACCAATGACATTGGTGTTCCAAGACTGTTCAACTAGCTACATAAAGTTAGATTGATCAGCCCAAAAATCTAAAAACTTGAAATATTTTGATATTTACTTGCTGGTCATTGTGGCATTTGATAAGAGGAGGCATGTGATCGGAACCTGTTCTTCCAAGGTGATTAATTTGATTGCTGTGGAAAATTCGAGCCCAATCATCATTAATAAACATTCTGTCTAGCCTCTTTCAGATTCTTTTTCATGGCTTCCTATTGTTACACCATGTGAATTTTGGACTAGTAAATCCCAGGTCTACTACGACTTCACAAGCATCCATAGTCCATACAAGAGCTAAAATCCAAGCTATCTCTAATTCTATGTGTCTTGCCACTCATTTTCTTCCCGGGATCCAGAATGACATTAAAGACACCCCCAATGCACCTAGGACCTTGAATCATATTGAGGACATTATTAAGATCTACCTAGAGCTCATGTCTTTCACCTGAGGTGCATTTTGCATAAATATCTGTAACATACAGGTCACAATTGGAGGGACTGTAAAACATTTTAATGGTAATTTGCTGGTCGGTGTTAGCAACAATCATTGTCTTGGTGATTCCCATTCCAAAAGAGCTAACTTTGGCTATTTGTATTGGAGATGCATGCAGTGTTGATATCCCAAGAATTTTATGTAATTGTTGATATTTTTATGTTTACATGGGATTCCATGATTACATTAAGATCAATCTTGTTGATTTGTATACGTTTTTTAAGCCTGTGAGTGGCTTTTTGGGACTTAACACCCTTAATATATATTCCAAAAAAAATGGAACTAATCATTGATAACAAGGAGATAGATCAGTTTGTATTTCCCTTTGTAGTAGGGAGAGTAGATTTTTCATTGTTTTTCTTGTTGTTGTCTTTCCCCTGTATATTTTATTTTTCTTGGCAGGGGAGAAACCATCATTGTTGCCATTATCAAAGGCCTCATATTGAAGTTGATCTTCATGAATAGTAATAGTTAATCTGTTAGGAGATGTAACATCAACAGGTTGATGCACAATCTTTTGTTGGTGATCTTGTGCTGATGATTCTTTGTCTTGTTGTTTCCTTTCCCTGTATTCTTGAGAACATTTGTGGGCTTCACGGTGGTGTTCGAATCGCTAACAAGGGCTCTTATTCAGGTCGACAATTTAGATTGATAGCAAAGAGATCTTTGATGTCTGGGAAAATGCTAACTGATTCCTCTTCATGGTTCTGGTAATTCGTATGTTTTGCTTCCTGAAGTCCCTTTTTCATGAGTGCTATGTTCCTAGCAATGCATTAAAATTACTGGATTCTTGTACTACTTCCTCGGGGTTGTCATGGTCGTCTTTGACTTGAATGTGATGACACTTGTAGTAGATAATTGGATAGTTACATTTTTTGTTCTTTTTTCCTTTTAACTTTTATCTTCCAATAACAGTTCAATTAAAAAAAAGGGTATTTAATCTTAGTTTTTTTTCCCTTTAATTTATTGCTATAAAGATTCACTTCTTGTTGAAAAAATTGATTGTGTATTATGTGGTTATCAATTGAATATATTTCTTTGCTCTCATTGTTTCAAAAAACAACCATAGTTTAGAAAAAACAAACATAGTTCAGCTGCAGATAGAAAGTGCTAGGAGAATGACAAATATGTGGATTTAATGAATCTTTTATCAACACACAAGAAGCTTGTTGCAGAGATAAGAAGCTTATTGCAGAGAAGCAAAGCAGTCAAACAGAAGGTTAAACGAAAAGAAAAAGGGACAAATATTTGGTAATCTGTGTGTTTTCATTAATTTATAAATTTATTGAACAAGTTTATTCTTTTCAGTGTATTAATGTGTCTTGTTCTAAGCTTTGACATCTATGCAAAAGACAAGACAAAAGGCACATGTGAAGCCTGCATTTTTTTTAACTCTATGGAAAAGACATTGACAGGAGTTGCAACAAAGCGAGGTAATCAATTGTTTCTTTTGGTTCACATTACTGTTACAAATTTATTAATAAGCTTTCTACCGCACCTTAGTTCTTGGCTTGCTTTGGATGGATGCAAAACTTTGTCAACTCACTATTGAAATACATATTACAGAATCTTGTAATCTATGTCTTCTACCTTTTGCACATCAATCGAGGCACAACTCAGGCCGATCTCTACTTTCCGTCTCACTTATCCATTCTTTGGAAATTGAAATTTAAAAATCAAAGGAGAAACAAGTTTCTCTATTTCACTACTAGGCATAACATATTGTATCAACTTTTACCGAATATAACTTTTGTTCATGTTGGACCTGGGCTATTCTAACTAGTATATACATATGAAGTGTTGAGCAGGGAATGATGTAAACCAGGCAGGATGCAAAAGTTCTTTTGGATGTGACAAAAGAAATGATTGCTCAAAGCATCCCCAGGAGTTTCTTCGCTTATAACATAAATTGACAAGTATGGTTGTTGTTACAATTGATTTGTGCTTGCTTATCATACTACTTTTTTATCAACATAACTTACAATATCTATTCTGATAAACCTTGGACCAAAACTCAATGGAGTAAAAATAAAAGAACGGAATGTCAATTAGTATATCGATTTAAATCTCCATTTCCCCTACACTTTGGAGGTTCTTTTGCTTGTGTCTGTTTATCTTGTTTTTAGAGTATTTAGACTATGATTCTCCTCCTTTCTTATGTCTTTATTGTTGATGTTGTTAGACTCGAAGAGGTGATGTTTGGGAGGCTGCTGACCTGATGCAATACTTCATTTGTAATTTATAATGTTTGTCACTAGTTATTTTTTATGAAATTTGATTCATGTTATTATTTTATTAATCCTATAATTTAATTTTAAATAGATTTTTTTTTCTAGCAAAAACATTATGATATTTGGTGGATATAAACTGCCACTAATTACTTTTTAAATTTATTATTTCTATGATTAAATTTTTAATAAAAAAATTCAGCAACAAAATATTGTGGCGGAATTAAACTGCCAACTATTTTTTTTTAAAACATTCATATCTTATTGTAGCGGTTGTAAAATCCCCACATTCAAGAATTGAAAATTATACTGTGGGGGTATATAGACCCCAACAATATATTATTTTGGAGCATTGTGATTATATTGCAGGGGTTTATAAACTCCTGCAATATTTTTTTTTTTGAAAAATTGAGATCATATTGTGGGGGTTTATAAATTCCCACAGATGTATTTTTTGAAATATTGACAATTCATTTTGAAAACCCCCACAAATTCACAATTCATTTTGTGGCGATCGTCGTGGAGGTTTCATAAAAACGCCACAATTAAGCTCATGACAACAGTAATTGTGGTATTTTCAAAAACCGCCGCAATTTTTTTTGTTGCGGTCAGAAACCGTCACAAATTGTCAAAAAATCTGCAACAATTTACCAGTTTTTTTGTAGTCACAGATTAGCCAAAGTATTGTCTTGTTGTGAGTGAGAACTGTTATGCAAAATAGCGAAGGCCAAAAGTGAATAAAAAATAAGTATGTTTAGTAGCCAGCCTGGTGAGATAGTTTGTAAGAGGCATCGCGTGGAAGTCAACGACACAAAAAGTGGCTCCAATCATATTTCAAAATGTAGGTAACATGGTTTTTCACTGATCAAAAAATGAAAATATAGCAGTATGTAAGAAGTAGTGAGACATAGATGTACAAAACAGATGTATATAGATTGGCGATTTTATTGCTAAGTTCACAGAGAAAATATATTAAAACAGATGTATAGTTTACTTGAAAAATTGAAATAAAACTTATTCAAAAAAGTGAAGCAGCAAAAGCAATGAAATAAATGAGAAAATCAGTCCACACAGAGTCATATGAGAGAGTGAGTAACCTGGCTTTTGTCAACTGTAGAGAAAAGGATGAGCATTCAGGGTAGCTTTTGGAAATTTTGGTACTCTCTCTAAGTTGACAATAAAGCACAAGCATAAATCTTCCCGCAAACCGGTACTACTTTGATTTTAAGTTCTTTCATCATTCATTTCTTTACCTTGTTATAGTGTTTTGGAGTGGCCATTTTCGCCTCCGAGATATGCTTATGATGAGAAGTAGTAGGATCTTCGATCCTTCTTTTGTTGCTTCCTGTTGTGTCCATTGGAGCAGGTGACAATGGTGCGCTGATGACGTTATCTTTTTCGAGGTATGACAAGACAATTAATTTCCCGGGAGTTCCATCCATACTTTTAGCAAATGACCTTTTGATTTGAATGGTGAATGTCTTTCCAGTTAATTATTTTGTTCACATTTGCAAGAGGCAACATTTGTTTCTAGGGGAAAATTTGAATTTTTTTGGATAAGAAAAGGTTAGTTTAGAGTAGGTATTTATTTATATTTTAATTAAATTAAGTTTAATATATACCTTAGTACATCGAATGTCGTAAATTTCTTTTGAAGTGAGATGTAACATTGTTTCAGCAGGGTTCACCTGCAATTAGTGTCGTTGCAGAACCACTGTTGTCAGTAACAGTGATTTTAAATTGACATCTGTTATAATATAAAAATAGATAAGATAGTGAAAATTAGAAAAGAAAAAGTGAATAATTTAAAGCTTACATGGAAAGATTTTGTGTTATCCATTGTACCTTGGAATAAGATTTGTGGAACAACGACAAGTTGCGCAGTAAAACCTTCTTCGCGAATGCAGTCTGGCAAAGATTTGCTTGCATGTTGAGCAGACTAAAATGTAGAAGTCTTGATTTTCATTCGACAGTGAAAATTCAGCTTGTATGCAAAATATTTGGCCTTAGAAGATTGAGGAAAAATGTAAATAAAGATATCGTTGGATGATGTGTGAAATTGTAGTCATTCTTACCAAAGGATACTGTTGTGCATTAGCAATTGGTATGATCTCATCTTCAAAAGGAATAAACTGAAGAGAGCCTGTTGAAGTTGCACTCTTTTTGGTGTATGTGATCAGCAACTGTTCATTTGATTAGGCCCTTTGGAATTAGAATTGAAATAAGGAAAAGTTATTTTTATGTATATGCATATGTATTTGGTGGTGGCAAATTTTCATGGAAGCAAATACCATGTGCTGAGTGCAACAACTTGTGGACATGGAGGATTGATTTGAATTATTGTGCCGAATCTGGTTGTTAATCCTACATATATTTGAATAATTAAGTGTAATTTCAGCATTCTGATACCTTTAAGAATATAATATATATATATATATATATGTGGTTACCTACAGATGATTTTGATTTTCCAACTTTCCTGGCCAAAATGATTGGATATTGATCAAGTTGCTCCGCAATCTGTACTCCATCATGATCAATAAAGCTTTCCCAAAGTGTAAGCTTTTTGGGTTTCTTCCTATGTAAGTTAAAAAATTAAAAAGAGATTATAATTGTTACATTGTATCTTTGTGGAGAAAGCAATATTGAAGTAAACAATAATCTTAATAGTGCGAGAGTTTTATTGAGTAGGAAAAACTAAAAAAGAAATAGAGGTAGTGTAAGTTGAAGACAAAGACACTCAGGCATATTTGTTCCTGTTTTTTGCATTTAAATTTTTAGTAAAGAGACATTGGCAAGTGAATAGAGAGCATAATTTGTCTACACAATTTGAAGACGTGCAAATTCATCTAGCACAAACAAGTTGGGTTCAACAATGTGCACATTAAACACTCCAACATTATTGATTCATCAGGCTCATACAGTGACATCACATAAATATAACACTTTCCCTACCTATTTACAAGCACAAAACGTGAAATAAATATAAACATAAAATCAAGCAAGCTTCAATTTTCTATCAGACAAACAAATATTTTCTCATTGTTGCCTCTGTTTCACCCATCCACAAATTTCAGATGTGAAAAGCAATGTGAAAAAGTCAGCTTAGTCAATCAAAACGATAAAGTAATTTTTCACCATAGCGCATACAAACCTAACTTGTCCAAAAATTTCAGACTAAAATTAGATTTTTTAAGCTTAGTTAATCCCAAACAAAATTCTATAGGCCAAAAATTTCAAACCTCAATTGTTTTTTTTAAACTTACTTAGTCTCAAACAAAACTCTATAGACTTCAAACCCCAAAACGACAGCCATCAAATCCAAAGACTACAACCCAAAAAGCAAAACAAAGAAACCATTATCAAAAATTGAAGATGGCTAAATATGAAATAATTTTGACAATGAATATAGGTAACGAGGGAATACTGAGCTTTGGTCTTCTTTTTTGTTTAAAAGAGAACTGATAAAGATCCTAGAAAGAGAGATAGATAAAGGGGAGATACATGCACGTATGGAACCTCAGCAATGCATCATCAGATTAGTGATACGGTTATTACATAAAGGATATGTATACTATTAACATATATAAGATAGTTAATTTATTATGAACATTCTAGAAGGAGAAGAGAAAGAATGGAATGGAAATGAAACAAACATATACTTACTGATTATCCATTATAATTGGTTCTTGAATTCTAGATCCATTGGCAGTATATGTTGGTAGGCCGATGTTAACCACAATGGCAAGGATATCTTGTACGGAAAGAAAAGCAATGAATAGGTTAGTAAATGGTTAAAGGTGTTGTATTGATATAATTAATTAATTAAAAGTATAGGCTGTTAAATTTTATAATACCAATTTATGATCCTTCAAGTTGATGCTCGAAGTACTCAAACATTGTAAGAGTGAGCCGTGTTGGTGGTGGTAGTGAACTTTCTGGTGGATCAACTTCTTCTATTGGTTCAATGACAGTACCTTTATCAATTGTCCAAGTGAAGTTGTTGATTGGAATTCCATATGCATTGCTTGATTCTTTAACATATGCGACTGATACCAAGTAGGTATGGAAAGGAAGAAACATGTCTACACAATTTCTTATATCGCCACCAAATATAATGCCTTGGATAGGTGTTCCTATTGAAAAACATAAAATATGACTGAGTTAGTCAAATAGAGAAGTAATACTTTTTCTATACCAAAAAAGACTCTGATATCTTGAGGTTTAATTTAAGATGTTATAGCTTAAGAAGATAAGAATAAGTAATGAGTAGAATGTAGTTGCATCATAAGAACATGAACTATAAGTCGTGTCTTAGAAAATTATAGAACGGACTGGATGGAATTTTCTCAACTTAATTGGGGAATTCTCGTGATGATATTGGAAGCAGAATTGTGGAGATGGAGATCTCCACAGTTATTTTAGTCACATAAGTTTAGTCTTTTTTCAAGTATAAATCATGCCCAAACACAATTTCAAAAATTGAAGTTTCTAATTTTTAAGTTTCAACTTTAAAATCTATAGTTAAACATGAGCTTGACATGATTTTATCTGGGAAGATTATTTTTCAATCAAGAATTTAATACAACATATATAATATTTGTTAGAATAGGAATATGTTAATACAATCCCATTAGAATAGGAATAAGATTATACAATCCTATTAGAATAGGAATAATAGAAATAGAAATAGGAAAACTAAATAGTATCCTACTTGGTAAATGATTGTATTCTAGGTTCTATAAATAGGGTCTCAATGTAATAATGTAGACACATCAACAATTCAATAATATTATTTTCCTATATTTCTCACATGGTATCATAGCCTCTACGATCTTGGTA